GAAGACGAAGACGAAGACGAAGACGAAGACGAAGACGAAGACGAAGATGAAGATGAAGATGAAGATGACTTTGATAGTGACCATGAAGTTGAGGATGAAGATGAAGAGGAAGATGAAGTTCAAGTTGAAAATGACGGCGAATATGAAAGTTGAATATTAAATGAAGAAAAATTTGAATATGAAGATTAAGATGACGATGAAAACTGAGTTAACGATTAATATATATGTCATCGTCTTCTTTTTCGTCTTCACCTTCGTCTACGTGTTCGCTTTCGTATTCGTTTTCTTTTTCATCTGTGTATTCATATTCGATTTCGTCGTCTTCGCCTTCGTCTTCGTCCGTGTGCGTTTTCGTATTCGTGATCGCTTTCGTTGCCATATTCGTAATCGTCTTCGCACTTGTATTCAGCTTCGTGTTCATATTCGTTTTCGCTCTCGTCTTCTTATTCGTCCTAGCTTTCGTCTCCGTTTTGTTTTGTTATCATTTTCGTATTTATGTTCGCTTTCATGCTCGCCTTTGCATTCATCTTCATGTTCGCTTCCGCCTTCGGCTTCGCGGTCGTAATCGTATTCGTCCTCGTCTTTGGACTTTCCCAGGTTTAGTTTTAGTCCTTAATCTTAAGATTTGCACATGTTTACTTTTAATGATATTTATTTGACCATTTTTAACTCGATATCACTCCTTATGGAAAACACCTGAAGCTGCTTTTGCTTTCTAAGCAAAAAATACAAATAAAAAACTAAGTTCTCCATACAATAAACAAACAAACAAACTGAAAAAGTAATTTCTTTAATAAAAGTTATAACGGTTACGGTCCCCGCTTTTAATTGCTGTGAGACAGGAAAAAAAAAAATAAAAAATCCGAATTGGAGCTAAACCAAAAAAGCCCAAATGATATTTTGCTCGTTTCGTCAAGTACTTTCAGAAGCTGAAGTAAAAATTTAGTCAACATTTTATGTTTGCACTGTGCTATCTGTCCTCTCTACACAAATGCAGGACAGACAAGCTGTCTTATTGCAAACAAGTTCTAGTTTCGTTATTTTTTTTCGATTCAAACACATGTTTGCTATCGGTCTACCTGCTAGATTTTCTTTGACTTACCCGCGTTGAAAGGAATGATTTTCAACAAATCATAAAGAAATCAAAAAGTGGGCGACTAATAGTCTGGTTACACATCGTTACCTTAATATAAAAAGGCCCTAATTAAGATTTTTATTTCTTTACAGTGTACTTATAAAAACTTATACAAACGTAAGCTCTTCATTTGCGATTTTCTTCATTACACTGGTTTAAATGAACGTATTTATAAACTAATTCTTTAATGTAGTTTTTATTTTTATATTCGCTTAAGTCTTTAGTGAGTAGTCTTTTCACTTTTGTGTAGAGTTGAATTTCAAAAGAAAATGAGTTAGGGCCTTTCTACTAAATAGTATATTAAAGTACATATTTGAACTTTTAACAGAGAAAAAAAAGCTAAATTTCGTAGATTATCTCCTTTTTGATAACAAATATTTGTTGTGTTTTAATCTTCAAATATAAACATCACCCTACATGTACATAATTACCCAATTTTGAAGCAGATAAGTTTTCCGATTCGGGCAAAGATTATACTCTACTCGAAAAAAAAATCGGCTTTCATACCACCCAGCGCTTAAGGAGTGCTGAGAACTCTTTTTTTTTGAATGGATATAATCATCAGTAACTGTACAACTTAATTATCTTTGGAAGGTACGTGCGCCGCACAGTGCGTAATTTGGGCAATTTAGGGGAAGGAAAATCGAAAATCGAAGTGCTAAAAAAAAGTGCAGATACGATATATGTATGTACGTATGAATGTCTGATATAATCGAAAATTGGTCCCCGATTTTTGGAAGATTAGCTGGAAGAATGCTAAGCTTGTATAAACATGCCTGTGTTGACGAACGATAATCGCCAATTTTCCGGCCTTAATCCAAAACCGCAGATTACTGATGTCGTAATTAGGCGAGTAAAACAACGATGCCAAACTTTCTGCAATAGACTTAAAAAAAGGTTTACGTCTATACCTGCTATGGGCGCTCGCATACGAAACATCGTAAGAGATATATCGCTTGTGTAGACCATTTATCGCAGAAGATATACGATACAAAAGATGAGATATCGCATACTTGTTGTCGCATATCTGGGTTTAAGCTTAACAACTATTTTTCGTTTTTTTTTTTAATTCCGAGGAAGAAAGAAGCGGTGTATTTCGGAGAAGTGCTGTTAAAGCACAACCAGGAAAAAATATAAAATTTTCGCAGCATTTATAAAACATTAAAAATATCGGTCTTCCCTTAAACTCGTAAAAGCCTGTGAAACCTCGTTAAGCTCGTAAATTTACGAGCCTCGTAAAAGAACTGTCAAAATTTGTATAGAGCTCTATTTACGAGCCCCTCGTTAATTTACGAGGCAAATTTTTTGCGCAAATGACCTCGTGTAGCCGAGATGCCGAAATTTTAATACAAAAATGTATGATAAAATAATGAAAATAAATGAAAAAAATAATACGCTACTAAAATGAATAAATTTCATCCACTAACTGTGTTGACTTAGGTTTTCTGCTAATTTTCGGCATTTTCAATTGTATTTTAGCCAAGAGTGGTAGAGACAATATGGCGGGATGTTATGAAAATACTACGAAACAAAAATTGCTTCACAAAGGGGGCGTTCCCATAGAAGCCTCGTAAATTTACGAGTTTTACACGGTTTAAGACTTTACGAGTTTAAGGGAATTCCCTAAATATATTTGCACTGAAATGGCATGCGCTGAAATGCCCACGTTCAAAAATTTCTCCTCAATAATGATTTATTTAATGCAAAAGTTGGAAACTTCCGGAAAAATTGTGTCAAAGATATTAGAAATCAAATTATATCAGTTAATATTTCGACTATAGCGCCATCTAGCGGGACTATTTTTTTGTAAATATATTTCTTCCACTATGTATCTAATACATGTTGCAAGTTTTAACGAAATCGGTCCATATATACGGGCTTTCAAAATATATCGACCCCGGCGCCACCTAACGGTAAAATTTTTTTGCAAAAATATTCCTGCATATGCAACCAATATACATTGAAAAAATAAATCAGATTCGACCATAACTAACATAGCTATATAACTTTTATTTTTTGACTATAAAGACCGTCCCCTGGAAATGCCCATATAAAATATTCTACTTATGGCATCACGTACATTCTTTGAAACCGTAATTATATAGTCTAAACATTAGAAGTACATAAATGAAAAAAGTAATTTCTAGGGTCAAAATTGTAGGTGCTATGATTTTCCTTCCCCTAAATCGCCGAGATTACGCACTGTGCACCGGCTGTCGGTGTTTTAATCTACCACAATGTTATTTTTATTGTACTCGTATTTTATGATATGATGAGCAAACAATTTCTGAAAATATCGCACCAATATTGTGTCACGTAAGTCTTATCTTTAAATTATAACTTTTACAAGATCTCATTATTATCTATGACCAATAAATTAACGCATTGTTTGTAGGCATTTTATTTGTTCAAGAGCGCTGACACATTATAACCTTCGTAACGTAAGTATAGCATTTTTTAGTGGAAAGCAAAAGCGATTAAAGGTTTTATTCTTTTTCGATGGCAATTGGTGAGTCAAAAATAACAGCTCATTTGGCTACATATGTACCCCTGTGGTCAGCTGATTAAGTCAAGTGACATTTTGACTAGTTTTGGCTATTGTTCTTTTGTTTATTTAATGATTATGTTTTCTTATAAACGGCTAGCACTTTACCTAACCAGCGCCACATAAATCCACATTTCAATTTTCGTACAAAAATTATTTTGCATATTCTTCCATATAAAATATGCTCGCCATTTTCGTTTGTATGGGAGAAAATGCCTAGCGCCATCAGCAAAAAAATTATTAAAAATCAACGCGATTGTCTAGCGTCTTCAAATTTGCACTTTAACCTACTAAAATTTTATGAGCTACAAAACTGCATACCAAAAAATTTTCTAAAAATTCTGAATATAAAGTTTAAAATTTTCGGGTGCAAATGTTAAAGTTTGTAGAATTTTCATAATTTTTGGAAGAAGTTTAAAATGTGGATTTGTAAGGTGCTGGTTAAATAATGTGCTAAACTTTTATAAAAAAATAAAAACATTAAATAAACAAAAGAAAAATAGCCAAAACGAGTCAGCGTGTCACTTGACTTAATCAGCTGACCACAAGTGTATAAGAAATCTGCTCTCCAATGGAAATGAATGCTTTATAAATATTTGAAATCTAACATTTTAAATTGTTCAACACTTTCCACATTTTTTCATTCTATCAGTCATTTCTATAAGTCATCCGTTTACTATGAATCCACATCAAGCAATGTCCAGTAATAAAAGCTTAAATTAATAGAAGGACGATCAAGAGTAACTTAAAACCTAGACCTTTTTTCACTGAAACTTATGGCGTTTTCTTTTCTAGCGAA